CTGCTGAGTCCGAACTGCTTTCTGCACACGTCCCATGCAATCTCCTGGACTCTTCCTCCTTGGCATTCCCCAAATGAAAAGCACCCCCTCCAAACCCTTCCCCTTTTCCCGGGCCACCTCTTCTCAGTGACTGCCACTGCTTCTGTCTGCCAGAAACCTGGGGTGCTGCCTTCTCCTCTTGAGTTGGGTTCTCCAATCCCCACAGCCTGGGCCAGCCGTCCTCTCTCCTGACAGATCAGCTGCCTCTTCACTCACCTCCTGCCTGCCGTTGCCTGGCCCCACTCCCATTTCTCCATCTGAGAGGTTTTTTATTTTATTTTTATTTTTTATTTTTATTTTATTTTTATTTTTATTTATTTATTTTTTTTTTTTTGAGACGGAGTTTCGCTCTTGTTACCCAGGCTGGAGTGCAATGGCGCGATCTCGGCTCACCGCAACCTCCGCCTCCTGGGTTCAGGCAATTCTCCTGCCTCAGCCTCCTGAGTAGCTGGGATTACAGGCACGCACCACCATGCCCAGCTAAGTTTTTGTATTTTTAGTAGAGACGGGGTTTCACCATGTTGACCAGGATGGTCTCGATCTCTTGACCTCGTGATCCACCCGCCTCGGCCTCCCAAAGTGCTGGGATTACAGGCTTGAGCCACCGCGCCCGGCCAATGAGAGGTTTTTTAAAAACTCAGCTCCGATGGTGTCGCTCCCAACTTCTGTGGCCCTTCTCGCAGGAGGATTTCTGGCTCTGCCCTGGGCTGGGAGCCAACACTCCTCTGCAGTCAGGAGCCCGGCGCCCTCCGTCGCTGATGTTCCTGGCATCCCCTCTCCCTGGGGTGCCCCTCCTTCCCGAACCTACCTTCCTCATTGCATGTGCTCTTCAAACTTGGCACAGGCTAAAGGGGACTGTCCCCCTTTGGGGCTTACCCAGAACACTGTCCATTCGACCTGGCCTCATAATTGTCAGTTTGCATGTAGGTATCTATTGCTGAGTGACAGACTAGAGGCACAAATGGACAGTGCCAAGCCACACATAAAAATAGAATTCTGACCCACGGTCTGCAGCAACCTGCCCGGGAAACCAACCCATGATCCACAGCAACCAGCCCAGGAAGCCAATCCACTGAGTAGAGTCAGAGTCGTGGGGAGCGGGACCATGATCTCTAGCAAACAAGCCAAGAAGCCAAACATGACCCCTGCCACAGTATGCCCAAAACGGCTAGGACTGGATTAGTCCCCCTCATCTGTGTCCCCACCTCCAACTTTGGACCAAACAGAGAGAAAGCCAAATCTGCTCCCCTAGCCAGTCATACTGGGTAACCTGCTTCCCCTTGCCAGCCTCTAGCTTCCCTATGTGAACAGCCTCCAATCAGGGCGTGCTTGAATCGTTCCCACTTTATAAAATCTGCCACTCCTCTGCCTGCCTCAACTCTGTGTCAAGATTTGAGTGAGGTGGCTGGCTCCCTTGCTAGGACACCTCTGAATAAATAGCCTTTACCCGTCCTCATTCGGTTGGTCTTCATTTATTTCCACTTGTGTAACAAACCGCTCTGAACACCAGGGCTTAAAACAAAACCATTTCTTGCTACAATAGGCCTGCTTATGCCCTCATGACTCTGTGGGTCAAACAGCCTCAGCAGGACGGTTCTTCTGTTGTTCTCACTCTGGCTGTCTCACATGGCTGCAGGCAGATGGCGGCAGGGGCTGGAGTCGTTTGGGGACTGAGTTGTTACGATGTGAAGACACCTGAGCCCCTCCTCTCCCTCTCTCTCCATGTGGCCTCAGGATTTCTCTTTTTTTTTTTTTGAGAAGGAGTTTTTTTTCTGTCATCCAGGCTGGAGTGCAATGCTGCAATCTCAATTCACTGCAACCTCTGCCTCCCGGGTGCAGGCAATTCTCACGCCTCAGCCTCCCAAGTAGCTGGGATTACAGGCACACACCACCATGCCGGGCTAATTTTCTGTGTTGGGTAGAGAGGGGGGTTTCACCATGTTGGTCATGCTGGTCTCGAACTCCGGACCTCAGGTGATCCACCTGCCTCGGCCTTCCAAAGTACTGGGATTACAGGCATGAACCATGGCGCCCAGCTAGGATTTCGCCTCTTAATGTGGTCTCTGTGGGCAATCTCTTTGGCAAGGTAGCTGGACTTTTTACTTGTTAGGAGCAGAGCTTCTAAAACCACAGAGTGAAGCTGCCAGCCTTCATAAGGCTTAGGACCAGAACTGGCACAGCCTTACTTCCACCACATTCTACCAGTTAGCTCCAGCCGCAGAGCCAGCCCAGCTTCCACGTGGGAAGAGGCCCTCATGAGACAGGTGTGGCAGGAGGGATGGGGGCCATCTTTGGGGACTGGCCGTGACACAGCCTCCTTCCCTGCGGATACTGTGTTTTCCATCTCTGTGCCCTCGGCATCTAGCAGGGCCAGTGCTCAGCAACCCCTGACAACCGAGGGAATGGAGGGAAGGACGGTGGATCCAACAGATGGACAGAAGGGCTCTAAGCCGGCTCCCCTGCCCCCAGGCCCTTACCACTGCGTTCAGTTCACATCAACACTGCTCTCTGCTGCCTAACACTCCTCTATTTTTAAACCTCTCAAGCAGTGAGTGGTGCTTAACATTTTTTGAATCAGGGACCCCTTAAGGAATCTCATGAAAGCTGTAGGAGACCCTCTCCCTAGAGAAGTGAGCGTACACATAATCACTCACACTTTTGCAGCGTGCTAATGACAGCTGCCCTTGACTGAGAGCTTATCACGTGCCAGTGACTGTGGAGGCACATCACGCCCATTACCCGACCTCTTACCCCAAACACACTGCAAGGCAGACACTACTTAGTACGGTTTGGCTCTGAGTCCCCACCCAGATCTTAACCCTTATTGTAATCCTTATGTGTGGGGTGGGGAGGTGATTGGATCATGGGGGCAGTTCCCCCATGCTGATCTCATGATAGTGAGTTCTCATGAGATCCGATGATTTATACATGTTTGACAGTTCCTCCTTCACGTGCTCTCTCATATAAAAAAATATATATATATATTTTTAAAGACAGGGTTTCTCCATGTTAGTCAGGCTAGTCTCGAACTCCCAACCTCAGGTGATCCACCTGCCTCAGCCTCCCAAAGTGCTGGGATTATAGGCGTGAGCCACTGCGCCCGGCCCACGTGCTCTCTCTCCAGTCGCCTTGTGAAGAAGGATGTGTTTGCTTCCCCTTCTGCCATGACTGTAAGTTTTCTGAGACCTCCCCAGTCAGGCAGAACTGTGGGTCAACTAAACCTCTTTGCTTTATAAATCACCCAGTCTTGAGTATTTCTTAATAGCAGTGTGGAAACGGACTAGTACACTACTACTTAGTTCACTTTCATAGATGAGGAAGCGGAGGCTCAAAGAGGTGAAGGAACAACTAGGAAGAGGCAGAACCCAGACTTCGAGCAGGAAGGTCTGACCGCAAAGCCACGCACTTGGCCAGGCACCATAGCTCAACCCCGTCATCCAAGCACTTCGGGAGGCCGAGGTGGGAGGACTGCTTGAGCCCAGGAGTTGGAGACCAGCCTGGGTGACATACGGAGACCCCATCTCTACAAAAAAATTTAAATGTTAGCCGGGCATGGTGGCACACACCTGTAGTCCCAGCTACTTGGGAGGCTGAGGTGGGAAGATCACTTGGGCCCAGCAGGTCAAGGCTGCAGTGAAGTGATCACACCACAGCACTCCAGCTGGGCAACAGAGCAAAACCCTGTCTCAAAAAATCGAGTAAAATAGGCCAGGTACGGTGGCCCGTGCCTGTAATCCCAGCACTGTGGGAGGCTGAGACGGGTGGATCACAAGGTCAGGAGTTCAAAACCAGCCTAGCCAACATGGTGAAACCCCCATCTGTACTAAAAATACAAAAATTATCCAGGCGTGGTGGCACAGGCTTGTGGTCCCAGCTACTCGGGAGGCTGAGACAGGAGAATCACTTGAACCCGGGAGGCGGAGGTTGCAGGGAGCCAAAACTGCATCACTGCACTTCAGCCTGTGTGACAGAGCAAGACTCCGTCTCAAAAATAATAAATACATAAGTAAATAGTAAAATAAAAGCCCTCTCTAAGTGCTCCCACAGTCCTACTCCCTGCCGGGCTTCAAGGCCCTGAAGAAGCCAGAGTCATAACTGCGCCCCACATGAGATTTCTGGGTGCTGTCAGACCACACCTCCTGCTCCCTTCAGCCGGCCATCCTTGACTCTTCCCTCTTTGCGGCCCCTCCTTTGAAACGGCCTCTCTCCCCTCTGTCTCCACCCGAAGGTCAAGTCCCTTCTCCCTGGAGACTGCCCCACCCTAGCCTGCCCGGGACTCCTGCCTGTGTTCCCACCTGGCCTGCCTGGAGCTCTCATAATTTCCTGAGTAAATGTTAACTTCCCGACTCAGCAGGAAGCCCTTGAGAGCAGAGACCCAACCCCATCGTCCACGTCTTTCTCGCCCTCCAGACAGGCACTGGCACCCACACTAACTGCTCTCAGACTTCTCCACAGGCCCATTGTCTCTGCGATTCTTTTGTTTCCTGAATCCTCAGCCCCAAAGACTAAAGGACACAGAGAGGGCCTGGTTGGAACGGGACCTGCCTCCTCTCTGCAGATGGAACAGCCGCCAAAATGAAACGGAAACGCGGCATCAGAACCCAGCCGAGTCCAACCCCCACCTGCTGCTCCAGCAGGGATATCGGGTGTCAACTGTTTCTTTCTTTTGCATTCTCAGGGGATACCATGTTGCAGGAAATCCGAGGCTGCTTTGTTTCCCAATAGCAATAAAGACTAGGCCGGCCGTGGCAGCTCACACTCGTCATCCAAGCACTTCGGGAGGCTGAGGCAGGCGCATCACTTGAGGTCAGGAGTTCGAGACTAGCTTGGCCAACATGGCAAAACCCCATCTCTACCAAAAATACAAAAAAATTAGCTGGGCGTGGCGGCAAACACTTGTAATCCCAGCTACTTGGGAGGCTGAGGCAGGAGAATCACTTGAGCCTGGCGGGGGGGCCGAGGTTTCGGTGAGCCCAGATCTCGCCATTGCACTCCAGCCTGGGTGAGAAGAGCAAAATTCCATCTAAAAAAAAAAAAAAGACCCAAAAGCACGGACATGTATGAGTAGGATGGACAGCTTCTACAGAGATCTTAGAACAAAAGAAATCCCAGCTGCTGTCCTCCACCCAAACCACGCCCCTGGTCAGCAGTGCCCAGCTCATGAGCAGAAAGTAGGGTAGGAGACTGCCATTGGTCCAAGGACAGAGATGACTGACCAGTCCTGTCCCCACCATTTCTGTCTCTGAGGGCTGGCCCAAGCCTCTCCTGTTACCTTGAAAGTCAAGGTTACACTTTGCATACAATGATACATTTAATTAAAAAGAGCAATATTGGCCCGGCGTGGTGGCTCACGCCTGTAATCCAAGCACTTTGGAGGCCAAGGCAGATCACCTAAGGTCGGAAGTTCAAGACCAGCCTGACCAACATGGTGAAACCCCGTCTTTAAAAAAAAAGAGCAATACTTTGTGGGGCAAGGGAAGGTTACATTTAGTTCTCACTCCCATCACACATGGAAACTGTTTAACATTAAAGCTTTCCAACCTGGGCAACAGGGGGAAACTCCATCTTTACAAAAAACACAAAAAATTAGCCAGACATGGGGCTGGGCACGGTGGCTCACATCTGTAATCCCAGCACTTTGGGGGGCTGAGATGGGCAGATCACAAGGTCAGGAGTTCGAGACCAGCCTGGCCAATATGGTGAAATCCCGTCTCTACTAAAAATATATAAAAATTTTAATCCCAGCTACTCGGGAGGCCAAGGCAGGAGAATTACTTGAACCCAGGAGGTGGAGGCTACAGTGAGCTGAGATCGTGCCACTGCACTCCAGCCTACACAACATAGCGAGACTCCGTCTCAAAAAAAAAAAAAAAAAAGCCAGACACAGTGGTCTGTGTCTGTAGCCCCAGCAACTTGTCTATAGTCCCAGATGAGATCTGGGTGGAGACACAGAGCTGCTGTAATCCCACCTGCAGAGGTGGGAGGATCGCTTGAACCCAGGAGGCGGAGGTTGCAGTGAGCTGAGATGGCACCACTGTGCTCCAGTCTGGGCGACAGAGTAAGACTCCGTCTCAGAAACAAAACAAACCCTCCATTTTACAGATGAGAGGGAACCAAAGCTTAGAGCAGTCAGTGACTTGTCCAGGACCATGGTGTCAGCTGAGTGTCACTAGGCAATTTGAGGAGAGTTTAATAAGGGGACAACTGACAAAGGTGTGGGTGGGGCCTGGGGCATCCACCAGGATAGTAAATAACAGGCAAGGAACCACTGGGGTCAGGGGCAGAGAAAGGGACTGGAAATGACAGAAATGAGAACCCAAACAGAGGCTCCAGGTGGAGATGGGCTCTGACCAGAGCCAGACCTCTGCTCATGGGCAATGCCAGCCTGTAGGGCACAGAGTAAATGCCCAGCGCTCACTCTCCTCCTCACTCTCGCCTCTCCCTCTCTCACCTGCCTCAGTCTCCCACTGGTTGGATCTGAAGGCAGAGGGCAGGGGCCCACTGGTGTCATCAGTACAGGTCAGCTTCCCAGGCCTGGCGGTGGACGGAGGGGCATGTGGGATCCCGCACCTTCACTAGCTGGGAAGGAGCCAGCCTGCATTCACACTGAGGCTCACTCCGCTGCCAAAGGCCACGCATGCAGCCCCTCCACTACCGTCTTTTCACGGGGTAGAAGCCAGAGGCCCCCACTGCCCTGGGTGTCGGCACCTGCGGCAACCCCACCCATGGTGATCCATCTCCTACCTTGCTCTCCTCGAAGTTCTGACCCCAACATGGACTTTCTAGTTTTGAGAGAAGACATGTCACAGGGGGCTGAGGACGTCCCCAGTAGAGAGAAGCTGTTCTACGACTCACCTAAAAGTCTCTTACGACCAGGCGTGGTGGCTCATGCCTGTAATCCAAGCACTTTGGAGGCCAGGGAGGGCGGATCACCTGAGGTTGGGAGTTCAAGATCAGCCTGACCAACATGGTGAAACCCCGGTCTCTACTGAAAATACAAAAATTAGCCAGGTGTGGTGGCCAGCGCCAGTAACCCCAGCTATTCGGGAGGCTGAGGCAGGAGAATCACTTGAACTCAGGAGGCGGAGGCTGCAGTGAGCCGAGATCATAGCACTGCACCACTCCAGCCTGGGCGACAGTGCAAGACTTTGTGTCAAAA